ACTGTATGTCGCACGCCCTCAGTCGATTATAAGATTCACTCTCTGAGAACGAGCTTACTGACCAGAAAACGCTTAGTGCTATATCTGAGGGAAATAATGTGTTTGTTGCAACGAAGACCGAATCGGGCAATCCACTATGTTTTGGCTGTTTTTTACTAAAATACGGTATGCACAAATATTTAGACATTCCAATGTCTTCATTCACCTGCCCATAAACAATGGAATAAGAAATTTTTGAAACGTATCAAACGAATATGAACCTTCTGTTCTTTACTCCGGGTGAATTAGCGCAAAGCCCGACCTTCGCATTTATGATACAGCAACGCTTCTTGGCGCGCCCAATCAAATGACGCAATTAAACTTCAGTGAAATACTGTTTTTCCTAACACGATCACGCACGGGTTCGTAGGCCGGTAATGAATGGCCGGCTTTAGCAAACCGTGCGATTCGGACGATGAAGTAAACAATAACATTTTCGTAGAGAATTCCAACAGCAATGCATGATGGGATATATTGTGGTGAAAATAACATTGTTTTTATCTAAGTTAATTAGCTAGATTGAATGCTTTTTATTTTTTTAGATATCACCCTCCAAACTTATCATGCAATATTCTGATTTTCACATAGTTCTACAGCGAGTTATTGTTGGCACCAACGAGGCTGTGAACATTGGAGAATCCATTGACCTAGAATGCCCGGATGACCCCGTATACGTTCGAACGTCATGGCACATAATTTCAATCCGCTGGAGTCGGGGACCACTCAACAGTTTTATCGCACAGCACCTGCCGGTGGATGAGAACAGTGAAAAAATCATCGACAAACATAAATATGAGATAATAAACAACACCATATTGCGGATAATCAAAGCCGAGATCTCTGATGATGACAAGTACACGTGTACCGTGTCATATGGGATTCTGAATACTGAAAGAAATCAAAGTAGAAGAACAGTGGATCTTGCAGTATGCGGTAGGTGATGTCATTAAATCATTGCTGATAGAATTAGATATTATTGAATGATGATGTACGTTTCATATAATATTTATTTTTTGAATATAATTTTGAGTTCTATATTAATTATATCATACAACCCATATATCGGACGCCTTGCTGCTCCACTCATGTTCGTACGTTTGTCTAATGATGATGGTGATGATAAAATCAAATATAATATTACTTTCAGCTCCATTTACATTACTTATGGACGCACCGTTTTCTAATGACACCAAAACTGGAAACGCGACGTTCAATGTCGAAGTATACGACAGTTTCAGCGTGATATGCATAGCTATATCTGGCAGACCATCGACAACACTGATCTGGTTACACGATGGCCATCTCCTTCGTAACCCATACGGTATATCGATCACGGAATCACATTCAAAATTAAACTCTACAAGTCGCCTTATAATACAAGACATTAGGCCTCGTCATGCAGGGTTATACACGTGTGTGGGTGAGAATGCGGTCGTATCTAATCGT